TTCCCCCCTCTAGAATAGATATCAGGAGTTCATGAGGGTGTCCCAGCAGTTGAGATATTTGAAATATATGTGTTGGCATGGATTTGCACACTAACCTGGCTGTCACCCTTCCCTAGGGTCTCTAGCATTGTTTTGCCTGGCTTTCCCTCAGCTGGGTATCAATGTCTTGCTTGATTGGAAGCAGGACCCCCTCAGGCAGTATCACTTGAGGACTTTTGTCATGGACAGAAACTTTAACACAGAGTGCATGAAGTCAAAGAACACCCATGATGATGTTCCATTTGCCGATGGCACAGCATTCTTGACGGCAAACCAACCGTACATGGAGCACCTCAAAATTGCCAAAAAAAAATCAAGTGGGGTCTACTTGTAATGACCATGGAGCTGTAACCTGGCAAACAAGGACAGCACCTTGATGCTACCGGGATTGGTGCTACTGCCTGTGCCTGGCATAGAGTATTTTGCCTGGGTGCTGTAGTAGATCTTCAGAAAGGTGAACAGTGAGTTGCCCACATATTTGTGATTGTGGCAATTGCTCACTCTTTATAGCTAAATGAACATAGACCATTCCCTGTGTCAGTCCTTTTCCTCATTGGCCAGGATTGACTCAGTCATAATCCTCTACAATATAATATGCCAATACGGTAAACAAGAGGGTCCTTGAAAGTCCTTATCTTCAGGTCCCCAGTGGTGTATCCATGTACAAGGGCATTGGATTATTTCATGTGCATGGACATCAAGACATCTGCTTCCCAAGATACGCCCCTAACTTCATCCCCGGGGCTGGGCAGGTTGATGGTGGGATATCAGAAACACTTTGGGCTCCCCTCAATGAAGTCTCTCAAAGCACCCGGGCTATGAGAAAGTCACATAAGCAAGAAATATTGGACAACCACATGGGTGATTCCAATTAGAAGAAGCTTATACAAATGGGTAGGTCCTGGGCTTCAATAACTCACCCATATTCATGACTAAGTGCATGCCTAGTCCCGGCACTTTGCAAGGAGTTCAAAAAGGTTCAACAAGGCTTGCCATCAAGCAAGCTTGCGTTCAAAAACATCAATTCCACTACAGACTCTGAGGACACAGAGGCCTGGATTGCCCAGGAAAAAAAGCACAGCGAAGCCAGCTGCATAAAGAAGACGCCATGGATATATATGAAGTCTCTTTGGCAAAATTACCCAGCAAAGCAGAAATCCAGCTGCATTTATCACAACAGGAAACAAGAAATTGAGTGGTTTGAGGAACTGCTACTTGGTTATTGGTGGGTCTGAAGTAGGAAGAGACTCAGTAAGTCCCCGGGCCCCCGGGATCCCGGGAATATATGCTTTTTTGAATGCTGATTAACTCTACATAACAGGATACGGCCGCAAATGTAGTAAGAGAAAAAGCCATGTACAATAGGTGGATAGAAGAAGATATTCTGGTGCACCTTGAGATGAAGTGGACAGTTCAGTATTTTCAATATCAAGCTAAGTGTTAGAAGGGTTTTTGAGATGCCAATGAAATGGAGGCTAAACCTGGTCATGTAGCATATGCAGAGTGGCAAATCAGGATGTGGGACCAGTTCTCAGAACGGGCAAAGGACTCGTTCCAGAGGCTAGGCATAGTGGTTTGAGGGAACTAGAATGGTGGACCACAATTTAATAGAAACCCGGGGTCCATTATACTATGTCGCTTTTGGATCCCTATTCTAGTTTATTTCCTCGTAACCTCCACCCTCCTCCTACTCATCTTCTTTGCTCCCCCACCATACCTGATGTCACCACTCTCTATCCGCTTCCGTTGCCCATCCATTGACCACCATGTGCCACTGCTGATATCAGCAAAGCCCCTGCGCCTGGTTGGAGCATGGGTGGGTAGTTTTTGAGCTGGAGAAGGTTCATCCCCTTGCATCACCTATGTACATTGCTGTCCCATTCACTTGGATACATTTATCCTTCGTCCATCGTCTTTGCTACAGCTACACCCACCACACGCTGCCTGGGACACACTTGTTCCAGATTGGAACTACTCCCCTCCCTCCCTCATTTGACTAGGTGGTCCAATATAACCAGTTTATTGGTAAGGCCATGGAACCATCAGATTTGGAGTCCGTCCCAGACATCCTTTTGCGTCACTACTGAGCATTCTGTCATAACAAGCGAGGGCGAACATATTTCCTGTGGTATTTCTTATCCTGTACACCCTGAACACCTCCCTCTGGTTATTGATCCACTGTTGTTGTCCATGCCCACTGAGTCCCATATCATAGTACCCACCACAACTGTAAGTACCATTAAAACTTGTTATTCTACTTCTACAACACTCCTACTCATATGTTCTCAAGCAAACCAGTGTAAATAAAGATACAGATTTTCAACCACCCAGCTCTCCTAACCTGTTCTACTCAGCCGTTGGTTCCAGTGCTACACCGCACACACCGCAATAACACAATTGTGGCCTCATAGCTTGGACCTCACTGTAGCCTCTAGCAGTAGTGGCTTCTCCACAAGTCACCAAGGCCGCAATAGAGTCTTTGGAAAGACTCTGCTGTACGGTCACATCAAAGGCGCTATAAGAGGTGCAGCTGAATGGTGTAAGTAAACTATTTATCCCATCAATTGTTCACTAATAACAGTTATTATGTTAATAGCTAACCTCAGGCCATCCCAAAGCTCATCCAGGATGGCGTCTGCATGATTTTCAAGATTGGTGGAGGATTTAGTAGTCTGTGTAAGTACCACATATTCATTACTCTT